GGGGGGGGGGGGAAGGGATATAATAACGATAGCAGCTCTTTAATTGAAAAGGTGGGCGGCTCTTAAAAGAGCCATTTCGAATGTGTTTGGTGATCAGGTTTACTTGGAGCTGGTGTACTTGGTGACAGCCTTGGTGCCCTCGGACACGGCGTGCTTGGCCAGCTCCCCGGGCAGCAGCAGGCGCACGGCGGTCTGGATCTCCCGGGACGTGATGGTCGAGCGCTTGTTGTAGTGCGCCAGGCGGGACGCCTCCCCGGCGATGCGCTCGAAGATGTCGTTCACGAAGGAGTTCATGATGCCCATGGCTTTGGACGAAATGCCGGTGTCCGGGTGCACCTGCTTCAGCACCTTGTACACGTAGATGGAGTAGCTCTCCTTCCTGGCTCTCTTCCGTTTCTTATCCCCTTTTTTCTGGGTCTTGGTGACCGCTTTCTTCGAGCCTTTTTTCGCAGCTGGAGCGGACTTGGCAGGTTCCGGCATCTTGCCGATTGAGTGGTTCCCGTTGAGATCAACAACAACCTGAACCCAATTAGAGCCGCCTGTATTTATAGGGGCATCATGCAAATAAAGGGAGTCTAGCTTTAACTTGCTATTGGACTTTCGCTGCAATTACGTCATTCACTGTATGCCTCCATTGGACCAAAAAACCGTTCTCCTCATTGGCTGTCTGTGCACCCACGGCTTTTGGCCAATCACAAGAAACTTTTTCAACCCAACCCAGAAGATAAAAAGGCAGATTCCAGTTTGCCGATATGTAGACTTTTTCCTCCTCTGTCATTTTTTGTACTCGTGCTGCTGTATACCGAGAATGTCAGGCCGCGGCAAGCAGGGCGGGAAGGCGCGGGCGAAGGCTAAGTCTCGCTCCTCGCGGGCCGGGCTGCAGTTCCCGGTGGGCCGCGTGCATCGTTTGCTCCGGAAGGGTAATTATGCCGAGCGGGTAGGGGCTGGAGCCCCGGTCTACCTGGCGGCCGTGCTGGAGTACCTGACTGCCGAGATCCTGGAGCTGGCGGGCAACGCGGCGCGGGACAACAAGAAGACGCGCATCATCCCCCGCCACCTGCAGCTGGCCATCCGCAACGACGAGGAGCTCAACAAGCTGCTGGGCAAAGTGACGATCGCGCAGGGCGGCGTCCTGCCCAACATCCAGGCCGTGCTGCTGCCCAAGAAAACCGAGAGCCACAAGGCTAAGGCCAAGTAAATCTTAATAACAATACACCCCAAAGGCTCTTTTCAGAGCCACCCACAGTGTCCGAAAAGAGTTGGATAACGTTCTCTCACAGCCCTGCCTATAGAACAAAAGTTCTGTAGATTCGGATGTGTATTATCAGGGTGCGGCGGTCCTGAGCGATAACCATTTAATTTACACAACATAACTATTAACCTAGTACTGTCTTTTTTTAAAACACAACCTTAGTTACTAGTCTCTTGAGTTTCCTATTCTTAAATCTACTGTATCCGTTTTTCTAAATTTAGTTTAAAGGCGGGGGGAGGCAACAAGTTTCACAACTTAATTGAAGGTCACTGGGCAAATCCTGTTAAACTCATAAATGCGTGGAAGGGGGCAGGGAAAAGAGCAGAAAGGGATCAGTGGCAAGGAACAGACTAGCACGGACTACAGATTGGGGTTAGTTTGGCTTTAGGAAGTGAGTCCCGAACAATCCTAAAACTGCAGACTGATGGCGGGACGCCTTCTTGGCAGAGACCGGGAATAAATCCCAAGTGGGGGAGGGGAGGAGATGGGAAGGCTTCTGACCAATCCCTACAAAGCGCGGTCTTTTCAAACTCTTCGTCCGGTAAAGCCCCACCTCAGAGCAAAACCGAATAGAAAGCCGGATACTGTTTCTAAATAAATCAACAAGCGTTTCTTTCGCCTTCAAACTGGCAGGGGGAGGGGGCGATAGGAAGACTGGCGGTCAAAAACAAACAAACGCGAGAGATATAAAATACTATGACTTGGTGGGTGGGCGAGTGAGCTTTGTTACAGAGGATTTCGACTCTTTTAGATCATTCAGATAGGTACTTTTAGCTGCCTGGTGAAATGATAGGTATGTGTGGAATGCGATAAAGCAGAGTGGTGTGTGTACCCCTAATGTGCAAGGCAAGGAGCTACAGATGGGAGTTTTTTGGAAGTGGCAACAGATTTATTTCAGGGTGAGCTCAGTTTGGAATTATAGTGCTGCTGCAACTATAGCTCAGCCATGGTGTGAGCGCGGTGTTTCAGCTCTTTTCCAGATGAGGTGGGTGGCTCTTAAAAGAGCCCTTGGGTTTCTTCGCAGAAGAACCTTGACTTTTCTTCCTCCAATGAATTTGCGTCTTGGGCGCAGCCCTCTTTGCCTTCCCCTTTGCTGGCCTGGGCTTGCCAGCCTTAGGCTTCCCTGCCTTGAATTTGGCTGGGCTCTTGCCTGTCTTCTTGAGCTTAGCAGCCTTGGCCTTCTTGGGGCTTTTGGCCATGCTCTTCTTGGCTGCGGTGGCCAGCCATGGCAGCTGCCAGCTTCTTGGCTTTCTTGGGGATCTTCTTCATAGCCACCGCCGCCTTAGGCTTCTTGGCCTCACTGGCAGGCTTCATGGCTGCTTCATGGCTACTTCTTGGGTGCCTTCTCCTTGGCCTCGCCTGGCTTCTTACCCAGCTTGAAAGAAGCCAGAGGCACCAGTACCCTTGCACCAAGGCACCCTTGCGCACCAGGCTCTTGAGCCCCAGCTTAATGCAGTAGTTGTTCTTCTCCACATCATAGCCCTCAGCTGCCAGCACCTTTAGGGAGGCCAGCAAGAGCCCTTTGTGCTCTTTGGAGGCGGACTTGGCCTGGGCGATGATTAGCTTGGTGATGCTGGGGCATGAGGGCTCACAGGCTTTCGAGCCCCCTGCAGCTGCCTTCTTCCCTTTCTTAGCTAGAGCCTTAGAAGCTGGGGCAGGGACAGCAGTGGTGGAAGCTGCAGGGGCAGCAGGTGTTATTTCAGATATGATTAGAAAGGTTTTCAAACCAATAAAACAAAAAACAAAACAATGGGGGGGGAAGCAAGTCAGATCCCTGCCATTTATAGGGAGGAGAAACTATGTGATTGGTATGTTGAAGAGCCCTCCCAGCTGCCAGGCAGAAAGGACTCGTCTTCCTGCTTCATTTGTGCTTCTTTTGGGAAAACAAAGTGTTATTTATGTACAATAGCTGTAACCAAACTGCTCTTTTCCTCATCCAGATGAAGGTGCAAGGAGATTGTGTTTTCACACTAAACTTCCCTACTTTAAAAAAAAAAAAAGGAAACTTTTATGTTAAGAAAGAACAAACCAAATGCCTTTTCCTTATGGTGGATAGACACCTCAGAACCAAAGTTTTGCATTGCTTTCAAATTACAAAGGTACCTTAGTAAATACCATCAGAGAAATAGTGCCTCACTAGTCTTGGCAATGTATTCTCCTGAGTAGAGAAGGACACTAGTAATTTTCATCTGTGTTCATTAAAAATCCACCTCAGGAAGACAGAAGTAGCACCAGACCTCAGAAACTGGACTTGAAATCTGGAAAACAAGAGATCTAAAGCAAAATTAGTCATTTAAATATTTCCTTCTTTTTCTTTCAGGCATATTATTCGAGGACTACACCAGGGCTTTCATTTAAATAGCACTGGGGTATTGTCCCAAGGTGATAAAAAACTCCATTGCAGATACTTCTTATTGCAATTAGCTGTGGTTTTATGTAGGACTAAGAGAAGCAAATTGCTCTTATATTAATTGTATTCAAAATATTAACTTGGTTTTTGAACTTTTATAAGGAACAATGGCCTTTTGCTTGCATTCACGGACATTATAAGAGTCTTTAGTAATTTCAAAAGCAATGGGTGGATCTGACCCAGATGATATCAGAGAGTATCTCTGGTGGGTTTGAAACACTCCCACTTTTAATCAACCAGGACTATGGGTTCCCCTACTTTTAGTTCTTAGGTCAGACAGGTTTCACCCACTACATCTCCTGCTTCAGGAATGCTCTGCTGAAAACCAGGAACCTGCTAATAAGCAGACAAAGGAACCCTTCAGTTGAGGACTGTATCAAAATGGGTCTGAGTGAGATGCAGGGACACTACAGAAAAGTGGTTGAAGACACAGGGGAGGAAATGGCAGGGAACATACAGAAGAGAAGGGACTGACACAGATTGTTCAGTGGCAGGACCAAGAGTGACAATGTCAAAGATGGAGACGCTGACAATGATGATGACGGTTATGACATCAAATGAAAGGACTGGGGAAACAGGCAGGGAATTGGGAGGGGGTGGGGGGAGGAAATATGATTGTGACAGGTAAAGATGGTGGTGACAGGCACGCAGCAAGGTTATGATGACAGGAATGAGAAATGGTGCAACTGTAAAGGTGTGTTTTGGATTGTCAAGTGAACCATATTAGTCACAACACAGATTTGGAGAGGGGTGCATGTGTGTGTGTGTCTAAATATATTCTCAAAAAAAGGAGAGACTGAAATACTCCGTAGATTTCTTATTTAAAAATACCCAGAGCTCTTTTTCTCCCTATCACTCTTAACAACTGAATGTGAATGCAGACTTGGAGCACCACTTACCAATATGTCTTCTGTAAGTGAAGGAAGGATTGTTTGTACTTCATATTTTCTAAATCATTCATCCTTTCAAATCAGATATTTGTTTCTATCTTTATTTAAAATAAGAAAGGTCTCACTGCTGGAGGAAAAGCTGTTCCATTTTACATCACAATTTACATTATAACAGTCATATTACATAATTCAGGATTTTTTTGTTTAACTGAGATCCTGTATAAGTGCAAGAAAACCCCTTTGTTTTGGTATTGGATATGTTTCTTTCCTCCAAAGACATGAATTATTTCTCCCACTCACTATTTCTGGTTGGATTAAACCAGATTATTTAAATTCCGATTTACAATCCATGAAATAAATGTAAGCCACAGCAGACCCCGACCCAGTTTCTGTATCAACTTGATTTAAAGTGTGTGTGTGTGTGTGTGTGTGTGTGTGTGTGTGAGTGAGAGTGAGAGAGAGAAGTTTTAGATAAAGGGAACAATATAGCACCTGTGATGAATGCCTAAGTGCTTGCAGCCTGGTGTTCCAGATAGCCTGCACTTATGTGAAGACCTTGAAAGAATGTGCCTCAGGTTTTAAAACCACAGGCCACATCTCTAGCAACAACAAACTTCCTTTTGGCACTTCCAGTGTAGGTAACAGAGTCACAGATCGCCACTGCCTGGAAGTCCCCTCCATGAGTCTCTCCACACACATGCTTGGTCCCGGTGTGTCTAGCCAGTGCAGGACTATCTGGTTCAGCAATTTCTGGGGCACTCAGAACTACCTTTTCCTGTCCCTTTACTAGCTTTCCTTTGCTTGGCATTTTTAACTAAAATACAGTTTCCTAGGAGAGAGAAAAAACCTTACAACGTTGCTATTAGTAGCAGCTACAAGTTTAGTTTCCAAGCAGGAAACTTCTATTTGCCTGCATATCTGTACTGAACCTCTCCAACTGAAAACACAGACAAGGCAGGTTGTTGGAATAAGTCTCTTCCTATTTTTGTGTCACATTTTTCTTAATAAAAGATCAAATAAAGCTCAGCTGAGGATACTAAGATCGAATGCTATTGTAACTCCAGTAGAAACCCACTTTGACTGGCAATATTAGATTGGTCCCTATTTGTCTAGGAAAACACATTATACTTTATCCGAACCTCCAAGAGGCCAAGAAGCGATGAAGCTTGCAGACCGTTCCTATGAAGAGCTGCTATCAATACTCCTGCCCGGCTTTCCCCAGACAGGACCTTTTCACAAGCTCACCAGGTCGGGCGAGTACCCATTTTCGCGCCCTTTTTTTGAAAACTGTATTTTTCTAACATGGGGGTTATATTTAAACCGACCAATCCAAGGTCGAGAAGCAAGTTCCCCTTAGGGTTACTCTTAGTCCTAAAGTGAAGCTTGGCTGACATTACTGCAGCAGCTTGATTCCGCAGCTTGTTGTCTGCAGCAAATTCTGACCAATCAGCTTCTCTGACACATAATTTGTATCCTCCATGATTTCCCCTAGCATCAGCTTCGTGCCCTAAAGTCTCGGTGGGGAGGATGAAGCTGCTATGTCTCGGTTTCATCAGAAATCAGCGGCACCCACGTATTTCAGCAAAATAGGTGGTTTTTCTTTCGTGTTTATATTTTGGATGCCTGGAATGGTTCCCTAGTGACATAATATATTGTAGTTGATGATTTATTTAAATGGCAGTTTGGACTGCTTAAAAAAAACCCACTAAAAACCCTCTCCATTTCTCCATTAGAAAGTGAGAACATTTCCTTACCGTTGGAAGGGGTGAAATGGCATTTATTTAAATATACTATATTGCTATATTACATATACTAAAATACAGAACAATCCAACACAAAACAATCACTCCAGAAAAAAATTAATTTTGTTCAAGGCCAATTCATGTTTCCTATGTTTCAGTGGGCAGATGAGTGGTTCTGTTTACCTCGGTCTTGTTTTAGTTCACCTCTGCCAGTATTCAAAAGAGAAACAACTGGAAAGTACAGGTCAAAAGAGAAACAACTGGAAAGTACAGGAGAAGCATTTTCCTGTACCACGTCTTGTTTTTTGGTCTCTACTGTTTATTACTACTGCTGTTACTACTACTAATACTGAAACTTATTGAGTTGGTGAACTGCACTGTTTTCAAGTCCCCCCACCTCCCCCTTTCCCATTTCCCCATCATTTTTCTCTTTTTAAAGAGTTCAGTAAGTATTAACACTTTAAAGAAACCTTACTTCATTATTCCATTATTTCCCTCACACACAATTATGTTAATTCAACATAACACTTTTTTGTTTTGGGAGGGGAAGTAGAAGGGGATCCTGCTTATTGCATGAGGTTAAATCAACACCAGAAACATCTCTTCAGGTCTCCTCTTCTTTCAGTTCTTAAACTATCCAGACTTACGGCATGCAGACTTATCTCTAATTAGGTTTGCATGTCCAGTGCTGACATACTTTTGTCTAGACAAAACAACACTTCAATCCACAATCTATTAAATGCCTCACCTTTGGTTTTACAAATGTTATGTGGAGTATAAATGACAAACTTCTGATGCCCTCATTTCTGAGTCCCCATTAGTATGTGCTGGCAGAAATTCCACATTAAACTACAAATTATTTAAATTTCACAATCCTGAACCTGCTAAGTATCATATTGAACAGCTACTTGCCAGAGTTTGTGTAGTTAGGATATGATGTCATGTCCCCAAAAAGAAAAGGGTATGAAGGGTCTCTCAAAATCACAGTAATAAAAGATACCTAATAATCATGCAGTTATCTTTAAAGGGGTGTTAATTTGATTCCTGGCATGGACATTTTGGAGTTAGGTTGCCCCCCTAAGTAACCATCAGGAAAGAGTCATGATTATTTACACAGGCTTGCTTCGTTATTCAGTGGTCTCATTTTCTTCTAATGAACTCAGTGAGTGGGAGGATATAGATTGGCCATACCTATTCAATCAATAGCTCTTGCAGAATTCAAAAAGCCCAGTTACACAAATGCCCCAGACATCTGCAGGACATTCACTTCTTAACTAGATCCCCCTGCAAAACCTGGTATATTATAAAGTAATGTAATAGCATTCTGTTTGGACAAACCAAACTCAAATTGGGACCTGACTGATAATTCTCCAGAGTATGCAACTTTATAGAGCTTTACAAAGCTCTATAATGAGCAGAATTTCCATTTTGATGATCCAAAGTTGTAGTGAAGACAAGCTCTCCCCAAAGGCAGGAGAAATGCATTCAGGAGTTCTCTATGTGTAGTACTCAAAATCTTAAAGTGCTTTTAAAATCAATCTGCTACTTTTCAAGAAACTTTGAAATTCATGAGTGGGAGAGGTACAAGTTTGGAATCCAGGACTTTCCTCTTACGACTCAAAAATAGTTTATAATGTTCAGAATGTATTAACATGTTGTGCAAAGCTAATGGGAAAAATGAAGCTCCAACCTTCATAAAATGTATATGATCTGAGTAATACTGAGCTCAGCTTTTGACTGGTACCAACGATCACTTTAGAAATATGTCATACTACAAATTGTTTAGCACCTCTGCTTGCAAAGAGTTCACATTTGTGCAAGCAATTATTTCTTCTGGAATACCTGCCAGAGTTGGGAGGAGGTAGAGGGGACATGGTGAACATCTATTGGGATATATAAGCCAGGTCACATATGTATCTTAAAATTATTTTCTCAGACTTCATTCATCAGCAGAGACTTTTCTTATTCATGCGAAAAAAATCCGATTGAGATGAATTGACCATTTACCATATCTACAAGCAACTTGTGCTCCCTTTCCCTAAATGCTAGGCCTAAACAATAGCAACAGGAACAACTCTGGAAGAAAGCCTCATACAAACTCCATCTGTAATGGTGTGTGGCTCTAGGGGACAAAGAGGGAGGGAAGAAGCCTACAGAGTGGGATTAAGGATCAATCCTGTATTCTACAAGATGGGACTGCGAACACCAGGGTAAATAAACAGAGCTGCAGCAAAAAAGAAAAACTGACTCCTTTATGAATCCCTCCCCCTTCAAGAAGCAACTTACCAAACAGTTTTGTTTGTGTTTTTTTTTAATAAAAGCTAATCACTTGGGGCAAAAAGGGGTAACTGTACAATTATTTCTTACTGAGGGAGATTGTATCACTAAATTGCTTGGTTTTCAATTGCATAACTGAAGGAGCATATGTATTCCTGGAAGGGAGCAAAATACTGCCAGTCAACCTTAACTTTGCACTAATTCCAATTTGAACAATGATTTTAAAGAGTTCCTTGAATATCTTTTTGTGAGGTCTGGGAGTGGAGTTTGAATCTACAGCAGAAAATAAACTGTCTCACAAGTAAACTCTCAGCAAAAAAAAAAAAGTTCTGACAGTTCAACTTCTTTGAACTGACTTATTTTTTTTCCCCATTGACTGTTACAGAAATGACTTTACGCAATACATTAAATACATTTGACATTAAAAGGGTGGATGAAACAGACATGAGATCTGCAACAGACAGGTAACACGTTTTTTTTAAAAGGGGTGAAGATAAGGTGTGGGGGAAAGGGCTGTGAAATCAAGGTAGGGCATTGGTTAAAAATGAAAAGATTATTTTGATGAAATTAAATGTATAACAACATATGACATCACTTTTTGGAAAATACAAGATGAATCCAAACACAGAATACATGCCTGACCTTTGTATACAAACATACAACTAAACTGGCCTTAATGTTTGATCTGGACAAGTATGAATGGCTAAGAAATATCTGCAAGGATGTCCGGTGATAAAATAATAAAAGATCACACAATCAGCAACAACAAATAGTCATCTCTACTTCTATATCAACCAGAAAGCAAAAAGTATTCAGAGGAAAGATTTGAAGGGAGCGGGTGGTGGGGGGGAGGAATTCTGTATCTTATTTTTCACCACTTTGAGGCAAGTAATAATAAAAATTGCTCTTTTATAATTAATACCCTTCTTTATGTGGATCTTTACAGGTCACCCCCGCCCGACACCCGTCCTTGAACAGGAAAAGACTACAAATTTCAGATGAAATACCGATTGCCGTCAGCCCTCCTTTGTTTAAGGTTTGCAAGATGGCGGAGAAGACGACGAGGAAAGGGGCGGGCGATATGGGAGAAAAGAGAGAGGAGAGGGAGAGGAGGGATGTGTCTGTGAAGCCGGTTGGCCAGATATTGCTGCAGTTTCTTATTTGAAACAGAACAGGGTGTCCCCGTCCCGTCCCCCGCGCCGAAAACTCAGGGCGGTGTCTGCCACAAGTGGGATCACAACGATGTGAAAGGAAAACACGAGCATGACACGCGCACACTGCACGCGAAAAAGCTCCTGTCCTAAGGGGCATCTTGGGGAGAGGTGCGCCCTGCCGGGAAAAGAGCAGCGGCACTGAGCGCGGTGCTGGCGCTGCCTAGCGGGTCTAAAACTCTCCAAAAGCGGAGATCAGTTCTTCCGGCTGCGGCTGGGAGAGGGGATGATGCCTCCCCGCTCAGCAAACGGCGGCGCTGCTACGCCGGAGCCGCCTCAGGCTCACAAGGCAAGAAAGCAAGCGAGGGTGGGGGAGGGGAGAAGCGCCAGTCTCGCGCCTTTTTTTCTTTCTTCAGTTCTCAATCAGGTCGGACCCCAGGCAATATATACCGCGCTCTCCGCCAGTCTCTCTACACACAGGTGGTAGTAAGCAACTTGTGAATATGTCAGGTCGTGGCAAAGGAGGCAAGGGGCTGGGGAAAGGCGGTGCCAAACGCCACAGGAAAGTGCTGCGGGACAACATCCAGGGCATCACCAAGCCGGCCATCCGCCGCCTGGCTCGGCGCGGCGGCGTGAAGCGCATCTCCGGCCTCCTCTACGAGGCGACCCGCGGGGTGCTCAAGGTCTTCCTGGAAAACGTGATCCGCGACGCCGTCACCTACACGGAGCACGCCAAGCGCAAGACCGTCACCGCCATGGACGTGGTCTACGCGCTCAAGCGCCAGGGCCGCACTCTCTACGGCTTCGGCGGCTAAACGGAGATGAAAAAACCCATCTAGCAGCTACTTAAAATACAAAGGCTCTTTTCAGAGCCACCCACATCTTCACAAGAAGTGCTGTTAATCTGAGTTTTGCTTTAATAATGCAGTTCTTATATCGAACGCAATACATTTAATTTCGATTCATGTTTTTAACGTGTTAGTTAAGTGAGAACAAAGAAAGGCAGGTGTACGCTTACGGGGGAGCGAAAGGAACCGCTC